GGCCGAACAGGGGGGTGCACAACAACTGTAGGAGGAGGAGGAGGAACCGTAGTACACTGATCATAAGAATGGCCCAAGTGTTTACAAGAGAAGCAAAAAATTGGCCGCTTCTCATAGATAACTGTCTGCCAGAAGCCACGGTTACCAGCACGCTCAATCCAAACCCTGTCGGGCAACTTATGCTCCAAATTCACCTCAATGCACACCCTTGCCTCACTAGGTCGTCTCAAGTCGGTGGTGGCCTCATCAATTCTCAAGGGCATTCCTATTGCCCTAGATAAGGCGAAAAGGAAACCCTTCGCACGTAAATGTACTGGAAGCAGAGGGAACGATACCCATACGGGAACTATCGGAGTCTCTTGCTCAGGTGTAAAGTCACATGTCCACTTAAGGACTCTCATTGGACAACCGTCAATATACCATGAAGGTTTAAGAAAAAGCCTGCTGTAATCCTCCTCATGTGTAAGGTGTATAAGAATGTGTGTTGCGTCAATCAGTCCCACCTCGAAACAACCATGGAACCCAAACTTAGAAAAATTCTCACGTACCTTCTTCATGGTTGGCTTGCGATGTGGAAATTTCCCCACAAGTGTATACTTGTAAGGATCAGCAAGTGTAGCCTCCTCCGGTGACCCTCCAGCAGTGGAAGAGTCATCTATACCCTGTATAACCGATGTAAACGACTTCCGTGAACTTCGCACAGCTTGAGATAGGCTTGGACGGCTAGAAACTGCAGTAGCATAGGTCTTTCGTCCCTGATTGAGCACTGTCTGGGCCTCATGTGGAAAAACCGATGACAAAAATGGATTTAGATTAACTGGACGAATATTTAGGACAAAAGTTGCCGGAGGGTCACCGGAATGCCGCCGGCCGGCCGCTAGCGGCTCCGTTTTCCGGCCAAAATCAACCGGAGGCAGAATTTTATGATTTTCAGCAGTCTTGTGCGGAAATTCACGCTGAATAACGCGGTCAGGCGCGTTTCCCGAGGTGAGAACCGTAGAGGCCAAAAATCGCAATTTTTCGACAAACTGCCCGTTTACGTTTGGTGCCGTAACAGGAGCGTCCGACCTCCGATTGTCGTGATTTTTTGACCGAAAGTTCAGCATTTCATGGGAATTCTGAATATGTGGCGCGTGTCTCTGTTGGAGCTTCGTACGAGAATTAATTTCAAAATCAGTTTCGGGCTGCACTTTTTCCAAAGTTTCAATTCCGACGAAATTGGACGTCGAGGACACCACCCCAGGGGTTTTTGGGCCTTCTGAGTTCATTGGTGGTGGTCCCATATCCAAATTCTGATCAGAAGTGTGTGTTTCGATGACATTGGGATTCGTGCCATGATTTTTCAAACTTAGATCTATTGACTTGGGGGTTGAATCTGATATTGGTGTTATAGGAGTTGTTTGGGTGGTTGTTGGTGATGATTTTCCACCACTTGGAGTGGTGCAATCTGGTGGTTTCGGTGGTGGATCAGGTTTGTTGGAGTTTTGGAGGTTTTCTCCAATTCTAGAGAGAAGGGAGAGGGTTTTGGAGGGGGGCATGGACCTGACCTCCAGGAAATGTAAATTGTAACAAATATCAGAAGATAAAATGCAATCACAGTAAACAGGACACGAACAAAAACTAATGAAAGGTACTCAAGGGTATTCCCGAGGGTAAATCTTCGGGTGGTAGTACATAGACATTGATCGGGTCATGCGTCTGGTTTGAAACATTTCCGGATCATAGTAGTCTGCGATGTCTGGCTCGCTCGTTGGAGAGGGGTCTTGCCTGCGTGTAGGAGCCTGCTTTGGTGATAAGTACTGTTCGGATGGTAGTGCACTGAATGTCGGGCGAAAAGCGGGTGCATCTGATCTCATTGTACTAGTCTAGGTGCGTCTAATCTCATGGTGTTCTGTACTACGACATCTGAATCGTGGGAGATTGACCTGCTTGCTGTAGGGACATCGTCCTCTGCATTTTGCATGCAGTTTCCAAGGCCCATGCCATCCATGTCTCTCTGTATATGTTCTTTCACCTTATTGTGTGTAGGAGCTGTGATAGAAGGATGAGGTGAAGGTGTATGCGTAGGAGTCTTACTCACAGAAGGTCCCTCTCCAAAGAGCTTAAAAACCAAGTCCTCAATAGCAAATCTCATGGTAGATCCAACTTTCATTCCATGGTCCTTCTTAAAGTGATCAATCAACATATGCTTGACACCATGTCGCTCTGAGCTGATCTCAGCCAACAACCCCTTTGTAGAGGTAGGAACTGTTGATGCAGATTCTGACTCTGTCACAACTGCGGTAGTAGTAGTGGGAAGCACAGAAGGCACTGCTGAAACTGGAACCCACTGCTTCTTTGGCTCCACAAACGTCACCTTGCCCTTATCCTTATCAGTCCTAGTAATTAGTGGGAAGCACAGAAGGCATTGCTGAAACTGGAACCCACTGCTTCTTTGGCTCCACAAACGTCACCTTGCCCTTATCCTTATCAGTCCTAGTAATAGGGGGTCGAACAGGGGGGTGCACAACAACTGTAGGAGGAGGAGGAGGAACCGGAACTGTAGTACACTGATCATAAGAATGACCCAAGTGTTTACAAGAAAAGCAAAAAATTGGCCGCTTCTCATAGATAACTGTCTGCCAGAAGCCACGGTTACCAGCACGCTCAATCCAAACCCTGTCGGGCAACTTATGCTCCAAATTCACCTCAATGCACACCCTTGCCTCACTAGGTCGTCTCAAGTCGGTGGTGGCCTCATCAATTCTCAAGGGCATTCCTATTGCCCCAGATAAGGCGAAAAGGAACCCCTTCGCACGTAAATGTACTGGAAGCAGAGGGAACGATACCCATACGGGAACTATCGGAGTCTCTTGCTCAGGTGTAAAGTCGCATGTCCACTTAAGGACTCTCATCGGACAACCATCAATATACCATGAAGGTTTAAGAAAAAGCCTGCTGTAATCCTCCTCATGTGTAAGGTGTATAAGA